GGCCGGTACGCCTCCCCCTCCTCGTCCGACCCCTCCCCGCCGCTCCCGTCGCTGCCGCTGCCGTCGTCGCCGCTGCCGCCGCCAAGCGCCCACCCCCCGCCGCTGCCGCCGCCGCCGCCGTCCCCGTCGGCCCCGCCGCCGCGCCCCTCGCCCGCGTATGCGCGCCGCTTGAAGCGCTTCCACCCCTCATCATATTCATATTCGCACATGAACACGTCGTTGCCCTCTGCATCCTCCACCTCTGCAAAGCCGCGCGGCGAGCGCACGTAGGCGCGCTTCAGCAGCACGTCCAGCGACTCGACCATCGTGCGGCGCTCCAAAAACAGCTCCCGCGCGCCGTGGTGGCGCTGGCGGCCGACGTGGGTGGCCTGGGGCAGCACGTAATAGCGCACGAGAGCCGCGTCCCTGGGGCAGGGAGGGGATGGCGCGGGGGCCGACGTTAGGAGGGGGGCCAGGCGGCTGCCGGGCACCACCGAGGATGCGGACCATCCGGAGTGGGGGGCGCTCGCAGACGCACGCCGCCGCCGCGCCGCGAGGCTGCGGCCGCATCAAACGGCGCGCCCCGGACCCCCGGCGGCCGGGCAGCCCCTCAGCTCGGGTCCACCCCTGTCACGCGCCCCCCTTCCTCGCAACCAAACTCACTTCCACTCGCCATCGACCAGCTCCTGCGTGAATCCGATGACGTGGACCAGCCCCACCACCTCGTCCCCGTACAGCAGCCGCTGCCACCACGTCACCAGCCGCGACGGCCGCGGCGCCTCCTCGCCCGCGTCGCACTGGCGGGATGTGTGAGCAGCGCAGTGTGGAGCAGGGGGGGGGGGGTCGAGACCCGGGGCATGCAGCGGCGCGCGCGGGCGGGCGGCGGCAGCCAGGGTCTGCAGGGCAACATCTGGGCAAGGGCGGTTTGAGACCAACACAGCAGGCGGCGGGGACTGGCTGCCCATGCCGGTGCTGGGCCTCATCCTATCTCAAGGCCCTTACCTGCGGGCAGAGCCACTCGCCCTCGGGCACCCGCCTGAGCGGCGGCCTCAGGCAGCGCATGTGGAAGCCGCGCAGGCACTGCCCGCACTCGAGCATGCCGCCCAGCAGCTGGCAGCGGCCGCACGCCTCGCAGGCCTCGTCGCCGTCCTCCATGTGGCTGTCCTGGTCAAAGTTCTCGAGGGCCACGTAGTAATCCTCGCCCGCGTTGATGACGTCACCGTCCTCTGTCGTGCAGCTGCTGGTCATGCGGGCGCGCTTGCGGGCGGCCGCGCGCGCGCCGTTGCGGGCGCCTGGGGAGGGGGCGCGGCCGGGTGCAGGTGTCAGTGAGGGAGACAGCATAGTATTGAGCGGATCCGGGGGCAGTGGCGGCTGGGCACCACGCGTACAGCAGGCGAGCCGGCGGGGTTTGGCCGCTGAAAAAGCGTTGGCAGCTGTGTGCGCCACACCCCATTTGGATTGGAGGCAGCTGTGCTGAACCATGCACTCACTCTGGTCTTTGGACTTGCCATGGACCGCGTCGCCTAGCCCATTGGCTTTTTTGGGCGTCGCGCTCTGCGAGACGAGGGGCGGCGGCAGCGACGGTGGCGGCGGCAACCGCCCCGCCAGGCGCGCCTTTGTGTCCTCCGCGGCAGCACGCCTGGGGCGACTGGGGGTGGCTACGCTCGTGTGTTCTCGCTGCTGGTCGTTGGCAGCCGCGTCACCGTGGGCCCGCGGCCTGCCCATCGAGTTTCCCTCGCTTCAGATCACTGTTGCGCTCGTTGGCAAACACTTCTCTCAATGTCAGGTGCTGAAGTATGACATGTGCCTGTATCAAAGGTTGGATCGGGGCCGCAGAGTGAACACACGAGCGAGCCTGCGCGCGTTCGCTGGTTTGAATTGAGTTTGCGAAGCCAAAGAAAATGTTGAACTCTTACAGCCTGCGTACAATGAACTGACCGGCTAGGGCGGACTCAGGGCTGGGTCGGTGGCGCAGCACAACACTTTCGGCACTACAACTCGGCCCTGAGTGCCCCGGGTTGATGCTGATGCAGCACAGCAGATTATGCGCTTGGAGCAAGCAGCTGCAGCCTGAATGTATGAAATTACATGATGTCTTCCGAATATTCATGGGTGAGCCATGCATTGTCAGCGCATCAGCCCCTGCCGCCGCGCCCCCGGCTGCGACCCCGCCCGCCCGGGGACCCGCGACCCCGGCCCGCAGGGCCGCCATGGCCC